GCGATAGAAAGTGAGAAAGGAAGGCCTATATGAGCTAGGCTAGTGGATGTATTTTTGTAATTTTTAGGTCAACTCTCTTTTGTGCCAATGTTGATACTAATATGTCCAGTAAGATTATAATTATTAATGATGTGACCCACCTCTACTGTCACATGACACCATTAATTGTCATGTGATGTGTTAGTGCATTAAATGCAACCAGTTCTATACTATAAAGTGACATTTTGGCTCCATCATGTAACATTTCCAATTTTCCATATAGTCGTTATATGCAACCACTTTTATGTGATTAATGGCACTGTTGTCACATTTTTGATATTGTACAGCAAAAAATTTCAAGAGCTGTAAATTTGCAGATTTTTCGATTCTTTGCAAATTTGCAAAAATGAATTTCGCAAGAAATCAATTTATTATGGTTTAAGATTACAGGTGATATAATTTTGCAAAACTTATAAGAAGATTTTGTGCCATATGGTGCATGTTATGCATGTGTATGTATAGATGTGTTTGCAGCGTATGTTAGTGATATTGATCATGTGACACTCTGCCATTGTCATGTGACATCTGTTTAATTTTTATAGCTCCGTTAACTGATGGTACAAAATGTATATTTGGCTTGAGGTTTAATGGAGAACCTCTTTATTTATTATTCATTGAGAGTGATGCTGACCTTCCTCACAGGTCTTTAGTTCGAGTATGAATTGTTATTTTCATGATAAATTTTAATTGTTGGGTCTCCTGTTTTGATTAGGTTGACTGGAAGACAAAGAAGATTGAGACACTTGTTGGTCTAGTTGATAAGCCAACCAGTAAGGAGAAGAGGAATGAGAGAGAGGGGCCAGGAGGAGGATGATAAATGTATTAGACAGTCTCTATAGTGTGGTTGCTGTTTTAATGAGTGGTTCATCTATGTTACACTATTGGCTCCTATATTCTTTCACTCTGTTATTGCTATAAAAATTTCTTTAATAGTTTATGGACATGATGCACATGTACCCAAAAGTGTTAATATTTGTCAATTGACACATTACATAATTTGCATTAGCATCAATTACCTCTATTGTAACAATTACACGTACGTTAATCTGTATTGTAATCAATTACATGTACCTGGTATTGTAACATGTAGGTACATTATTTTTTCTACAGATGAAGGATTCACTGGTGTATATACATGCAGTCTCCCTGATCGTTGCTGGGGGGATAATGACAAGATGTATTTTCATGATTGTCAGAAACTATACAAAGAGATCATGCGTCTAGATGTCAACACAAAATCAATATCATGTATCACGTCTGATACTGAGAAAGGAGTTTATGCTGTTTTTGATGTATTTGATGGTCTGTTGCTAGGACGATATGCTAACCCAGCCCAACCGATGAAAATAGTAAAAGAGAATTATTTCTTTTATTTTTTCTATCTTTTTTAAAATTATTTATTTTTTGTTCTTTGATTAGTTCATAGCTGAGCTACCTTCCAGCAATGATGGCTTTAAAGATACTGATTTTTGTGAAATAGGTCAGTTGAAATGATTACTTGTTACAAATTAAATATATAAATCATGCAACATAGTCTTTTATTCTTTCTCTGCCAACAGCAACCACTACTGTATCCATTTCTGACAACATTAAATGGGAGGTTTTATCACTAACAAGAGAAGACTCAGGTACATATACTGTAAACCCAAATTATTCAAAAACCTTAATGTTTAACATTTTTACAATGGTAAGTATATTTTAACGAGTTTTACAACTAAGGTAACTAATTGCACATTGACAATTATATTTACATTCATAAACTTTAACAAAATTGGGCCAATAATGGTTAAAATTAATGGATAGTAATTATTAATAGGTTTGCAATATCACTTGATTACCTTTGCCCAATCCCATTAAAGGTGGTTATCCGTATGAGGCTCTCTTTGTATCTCCTCGTGTTGTTGAATCCCTTCCTCCACTGATAGTGAGTTCTCATGGTGGACCACACATGTCTAGTGTTGCTGATTTTACTGTATGGACTGCCTGCTTTATTGGACTTGGATATTCTGTTGTGTTTGGTAATGCATCAAAGAAAGAGAGATGAAGAGAGGGGAATGAAGACTAGTAATATTTTATGCACTTTTGCCAAAAAAGGTAGATAATTATTTTACTTGCCAATAGTTAATTATAATGGATCTACTGGCTATGGACAGGATTTCATGAAATCATTGTTGGGTAACGTGGGGACACTTGATGTGAATGATGTGCAGGTACCTGTGTGTGTGTGTGAGAGAGAGAGAGAGGGGGGGAAATTAAGGATTAA